GTTCACTGAGCTCATAAATCAAGTGAGAAGTCGGCTCATTTCTCCAAAAGTCTGCATGGTATCTGTGTTTTGTTCCAGCCAATGGCGCTCCCCCTTCTGGCCTTTACATAGAATGCTGGTTTAAGACACTTCGTCTGCTTCACTTTACAGACCCAGAAGTTCTGTCTGTTATATGTACTGTCAATTGTTTGCACCTTAGCATATAATGCAATTGACTGTGTACAGTCCATGAAAGTATACACTAGGTTGCAGTGGACATTACTGTAACTGCACTGGCTTATAACGTTACTTTTTATGTTGGCCTTGCTACAGAGCTGTATCTTGCCATTGGCTTATTATTTTAAACAGCTGTGTTTACAAAAGAAAAATGGTTTTAAAAATAAGTAGCGTCTTTCTATCACTCTTTTTCAGAAGAAATGTACACGCAAAAAGATTGAGATCTTTAAAAACATATGGGTATTGACAGTCACAAGTAGGGAGGTGCTATACTGAAAATAGGACTCTGTAGAGTCTCTGAGCCGCATTAACCTGGTGCGGTCATACACAGACGAAGAGAGAACTACAGCAGTGTGTATCCTGGACCTTGGGAAAAAGGAGAAAAGAAAAAGGCCATTCAAAGATTCCCAAACTGTGAAAGAATGTATGCTGGCTGTCCTGGATCAATTAGTGTGACCAAAAGCTAAAAAAAAGTTTTAAAAAGGTGGTCAAAAAGGCTGGCCCATCTACAGTTCCTCATTTTAAGATTTGGCTCAATTGAATTGTTAATTGCATAGCCCTGTTGTAGTCAATATGGATGTAAATGCACTAATTAAGGAAACAAATCTGTCTTATTAAAATATCTCTTGAAAAGTTAAATTATTATCTCTGACTGAGGCTAGATAAAGCAGAATAATAATTTTACTGATAGAATATTGGAGTAAATGGGAAAAGCTGATCTGTAGCTTTCTTTTATAAGATGTTTTACACAGCCAAAGAAGGTGACATTCCTTGGAAACAGAAGAATTTAAGATAGGAAGTTGAGATAAAGCTGAAGTTGTAAAAGTCGTGGCCTATCCTCCCCCAAAAACAAACACACACACACACACACACACACACACACAGAAAGGAGCATAGCAATGTTTGGGAATGTTGTAACATTCTAGTTTTCTTGTAGTCTAAGCTTTAAGATTTTTAGCTGTACATGTGTAGTTAGGCTAACATCATTGCACCACTTGGAAAGAGCGGAAATTTAGAAAAACAAAAAAATCTGAATTTTGTAAAAACATTTTTACACTTTGCTGACGTGGAAAAGTTGGTGTATTGGTAAATCATGACATACACAAAGCATGTGACTTAAATGTCCACTGAAAGTTCTGCTCCACTGAAGAGATAAATGATGGCAGATGAAAAAACACATTCCTATCCCAGGTCGTCAAATACTGACGCTACTTTGCCACGCCCTTTGGTGTCATATATAGAAACACAAAGTCCCCTTTAAATCTGTATGAGACGCCTTTATTAACACATGGTTAACATTGTGAAGCAGTTGCAGTTTTGTTTAGGCAACAAAAGTACTGGGTTAGGTTTAGGAAAAGATTATTAATGATTTAGGTTAAAATAAGTATGTTACTTGATAAAAGTCATGTTGCCATTACTACGGCAACAAGTAGCGTACGTTGCATTATGTAAGGTAAAACGTTAAGTTTTTATTTCACATGGGACACAAACAGTGGTCTCCTGGGTGAAAGTCCTGTGTTTGTACACAGACTTTGTCCCTTTACACCCATTGTGGATGGGTTATGTGAGTGATGAGTACACTGGAACCTTCCTGAAATTAATACATGAAGTAAAATCTTATTTCCATCACTTTCTCCATTTGTTTTTCTAGTGTGTTCAAGGTTGGACTGGAACTCTTCTAATTACATCATCTCAGTGCATACTCTGTCTACTATGGTTTGATAGCACCCAACTGGAGGATTAGGGTTGTGACTATATGAAGGTTTCTAAATCTGATTGAGATACAGTGTCAACACATTTGCAAATAATATTTCTACAATTGTGGCTGCATTATTCTGACAGGAGCCACTTTAAGGAAGGAAAAAATATTGAGATTTTGAGAAGGAAGTTGCAATACTGAGAGAAGAAAGCCCAAAATGTACAAGAAAAAAGTCTATATTAATAGTAAAAATTAACAAGTTGTAATTTTTATATTTTAGGAGTTAAATTCAAAATTTACAAGAAAAGGAGTAATATTGGAAGATTTTAACTCTCGTAGTAAAACAGGTGAGAACGGTGTCAGCTTTTATGTGTCAGAAGAGTGATGTTAATCTAAAGTTAGACGTTACGTCAATGAACCAGTTAGCGTCATATGATCAGAAAGTTTAAGATATTGAAATGTAAATGAAACAAGTTACATGATGCTTTGGAGTAGTGGCTGGAGCACAGTGGGAATTATGGGTAACTCAAGTAGCAGGGAGTGCATTTATGGCAGGAAAGTTATTAAAGCTTAGCGGGCTTTATGAAAATGATATGAGTTGCAGCCTGCCTGTGCATTACGTTGTTGCTCTGCTGGTACTGTGTCCAGTTTAGACTGACACCTGTCGCCCTGTCTGGGAGTGTCTCTGGATTAGAACGTTTAGGGATCTAACTGTTTGCTGCTCTTTATCAGGAGTCTGGAAATGAATAAGATGTGCATTTGCCAAACCAGCAACAAAGTGCTGTTCCTTGAAGCCTCCTCTCTCATAAAACAAATTAAACAGTTTGAAAACAACTTTGATAAAGCATAAATCTCACCATTCAATGGCTTCTTTTACACACAAATGTTAAGTTGTCCACCTCTTTTAAATTGCAGCATCTGTTTCATTAAGCTTTTCAGTGGGAAACATCCCTGTGAGAGACAGTTCTGAATCAGGCTAGGCGTCGGTCTTCAGACGGCGTGTAATGTAGCTCAGGGACGAGACACTGCAGTCCAAATAGTAATTGTGGGTTGTAGGTAGTTACAGTATTATAGATACAGTTTGTGAGGAAATACTAAAATGTACATGAAATCCAATCAGCCGAATCTGAGCATAATAAGTTTGGTTCACAAAGCAACCTACTTTATTTGTGAAATAATATTATATTTAATTATTATAAATAATATATATATTACAACCTTTTTCAAAATTCTAAACGTTTCTCTAGAAATATCCTTTTTTTCAAAATATTATGACTTTTGTCTCAAAACAAATTATTTTTTAAATATTAACTTTTTTCTCTAAATTGTACAACTTTTTTTCTCTCAAAATATCATGATTCTTTCTATATCCTGAAATCTGGTGTTTGATAAGTTAAGTGTGTGATCAAATTTGTCCAGATTAGTTCATCTCGGTTGGCCCTATGCTATCTTGGGCTGTGTTAACTGATGATGTTGAAATGAATCCACCAAAATATCCATTTTGGCTGCTGGCTTCCACTGCAGACACAACTGACACAGATATGTCTCTGTTCAACTGGGTAAAACTGAGATAGCTGACACAGGGCTCTTGCTCATATACATAAAACCCTTCACAGTATGAGACACAGTGGAGCCCCACACCTCATCAAAGAATGCCAAACGAGCCGCTTCGAGCCACATGTGTGAGCCTCACCCAGAGAAAGAAATCACTCCTGTGTTCAAACTATGTAACAGTATCACATGATCTGTTATCTGTTTCTTGTTTCTTACTGTTTTTATTTTTTTGTTGTACGGTGTCCTCGAGTGCCCAGAGAGGCGCCTTTAAATAAAATGTATTATTATTATTATTATTATGAGATGACCTGATAGAGCAGAGAAATGGGAGCTAGTGATGTGAGTAGCCAGAGCAGCCTTAATCCCTCCCTGCTGTATTTATCTACTCCTTTTGTGTCACAAGCTTAGACACTCACTCCCCCCGTGTGCCATCGCATGGCAGCTGAATTACTGAATACCAGTTGGAATGTGGGTCCTTTAACTGGAGTTAATGTCCCACTGAGAACAACTGAACAAGTCTGAGAGCAGAAATACAAAGGTCATATATCCTTGTGCATTTTCCCAAAAACAGTGTAAACATGAGCAGTCTATGTCAGCATAAAGGTGTTTTTGAACTTATTTCTTACTTGACTCCATAAAAGTCCATGCCACAAACTCTTGATATAAAGTCAAAATGGGTTACCTAAGATAAATATTATTTTTATTATTATGTTATGAAACTTTTTGAGCGAGAGGGGGCGGGAAATAGACAAAAGCAGCTGCACAGTCATCATCACACAGCAGCTCCTCCCATAGAGGGCAAACACCTCCCTCCTGCTTTAGTTCACTCCCATCACACTGAGGTTAAATCACCCTCAGACAGCTCCACAGTCCACTACAGATAGCCACAGGTTGCTCTCAGACTGGAACACAGATGTGACTGCATCTGAATGAGGATACTATTTCTCTACCTGTTAATCATCAGCCTGGCAAACATTAATCTCAGTGTTTGATCTTAGACATTTGACTGACGTGTGGCTCTCTGCCTTTATCTGCCTGGGCATTTTTGGCCTGATCATTTGCAGAGTGGCACATTTTAAGTGTACATCTACAAAAAGCCAGAGGAATGAATTTTGATGAAATTCTCTGTCTTATCGGGGGCTTTGGGAAGTTCCAGAAGATCTTGTATGTATGGATCTGTGTACCTCAGATCTTTCTGGCATTCCACATGCTGGTCTCTGTCTTCACCGGGGCTGTTCCTCCACATTTATGCCGCTCCACGTGGCCCTCAGCGGGCGTTCCGGCCTCTTCGAACTTCAACCTTAGCCTTCTGTCCGACCCTGATGGCAGAACCGAACTGTCCTGCGCAACCCCCTTGAACCACAGCGGTGCTGTAGCTGTTGGCGATGGGCACCCTACAGGGAGCTGCCAAGGGGGTTGGGAGTATAGCACAGAGACCTTCCAAAGCACCATAGTAACTGAGGTGAGTGATAAACAAACAACCTCCCTGAAAGGCTCTCAATTTAGGATTTGAACTGACCTAATATCTACATTTTCTCCAGATGTTTAACATTAGAACTTTATGCAGCTAAGGAAATATGGAGGTATGGACAGTTTTATTACAGTGTACTCTGGTGATATCCGAGACAGGGTTAAACAGGGTGACAGTTGAAAGATGGAGTCCTGGAGCGTAGGCATCCTCTAGGCCTTCACACACACCTTGCCACCCTGCCAGGTTTTGTAACACATGAATCTGAGGGGTGGGCAGCAGGATGCAGTTGACAAAAACAGTGTCACATGGCATTGTGATGTGTCAGCCACAGCGACAACAGTCACTGGGGAGCAGGCAGAAGATCTGCAGTTGATTTAAAAGTCTTTGGAAGTTGGCCAATCCTCCACAGTAGATTGTGATGGGAAGATGCCCAGTTCCAGTTGTGGATAATGTAATAGCCTTTGGATTGATTTATAGAACTACAATGAGTGGGCACTTATCATTTAAAATGTGTCTAAGGTCAGTGATAGAAGAAAGGTCATGAAGTCATTAAAATCTAAATGGTTTATCCCCTTTAGAGCATGAATGTGCTAAGCAAATTCCATGGCAATCAGCCTGTTAGATCAAGAGATATCTTACATGAAGTTGGTGCACATGGAGTGTCCAGAATAGAAATGGTTCATTATCTGGGGAGTATGATTAAGGAATCTGCCCTTTTTTTTGGAAAATGAAATTGAAAGGTCAGGGGGTCATAAAGATTAATAGGAGTCACCCTCAAGGTAACATGAATATACAGACCAGAATTTATGGCAATCTAGATAGTAGAGGTCTCACCACTCTTGATCCACAATTTTCAGGCAGCTATAGAATTAATTCTTCTTTAATGAAAGATGTTCTCATTTAAATGCTTTTCTGTGCTTCTTGCAGTGGGACCTGGTTTGTGATAGTGCCAACCTGAACAACATGGGCTCCTCCATCTACATGTTTGGCCTCCTAGTTGGAGCAATTGTGTTTGGGAGCTTAGCTGATAAGTAAGTTTGTCCATCTTCAGAGCACTATTTAATAAATGATGAGACGCCTATTCCACGGTTTTGTCCTCTGTATTACTTTATGGAATTGTTACTTTTTTAATTCACATCATTATTTTTCATATTTTGTTTACATGCAATGACCAAATTCAGAAATGTCTTGTTCCAGGTACGGTCGGAGGATCATCATCCTCATCAACTTGGCATCCCAGGCAGTCTTTGGGGTTGGCGCTGCTTTTGCCCCTAATTTCTACATCTACATAGCCCTCCGCTTTATGGTTGGAACATCTATCTCTGGTGTCATCATGAATGCATTTGTCCTTGGTCAGTGTCTTTATAGAAAGTTGGGAAACATTTAATCATTATGGCTTTCACAATTAATAAACTCAATCAGTGCAATGTGTATCCGATGCTTTCAGGCCTGTCCAATTCCATGGTTTATTTTGAGTTAGGGTAAGGTTATATTCATTCAAATTACAAAGCATGCAGTATAGTGTCTAACCAGGCAGATTGGTGTGGTTTTGTTTACCACGCTTTTAAAATATCCTGCTATGGGACTTACTGTATGCTGCCACCACAGTACAATGGTGGGGAATGGAAGTAAAACTCAATAGCATCATGTCTTTCCAGAAAGAATGTTGCAGGTACTCAAGATAATTCACAGACTTAGAACAGTTTTCATTAGCAACTGTTTGGCTAATAACTGTTTACTGATTTATAGTTTAACTGATTTACCAGGTGAGGAAACAGAGGCAGAAGCACAGCCATCAGTGGAGATCTCAAATCTGTTTGTTCCTAAAGATAAATGTGCCCCTGTCTTGTTTTTGTGTCGTACAGGCACTGAATGGACAGGATCCAAGCAGCGCATGCTGGCTGGTATAATCACTGACTACTTCTTCGGCTTTGGCTACATTCTGCTGGCCGGAGTGGCGTACCTCATAAGAGACTGGCGTAAACTGCAGCTGGCTATCTCAGCACCTGGATTTCTCTTCATCTTCTACATCTGGTGAGTGGGCAGCAGCAAAGTGACCCAGATTTGATGCAGTGTAGACCGAGTTTCCCAAAAACCTTTTTTAACAGAACCTTCAACAGACTGCTTGGGTTTGTGAAAGTTTATGATGAAGAAGATCCCTTTTATCCCCTTGATTGAAAACAAAATGTGTAGCGAATACTCAATGTCATGCATGATTGGTGCCAAATTCCTCTTATATTGTTAGTGTAGCAGGAAATACACTGACCCACTTTGAGGAGTATCTCTTTGTTTGTCTCTTGCTATAGATCTTACTTATTACTTGTCAAACATAATGTTTTAAGTTACACCTGCCCCTTTTCTTCAAGCAGCGCAGTGGGTAAAGCACATGTATTTGTTAGTAGGTCACCTGAGCAACTTATCTTTAACATTTTTAGGGTGTTGCCAAAGTCAGCTCGCTGGTTAATGGCCAACGATAGGAAAGACGAGGCATGGGAACTGATCCGGAAAGCAGCGCAGATGAATGGAAAGCCCCTCAGCAAAGATTTGGAGATGTGTCAGGTAGAGATGAGACATTTTTTATTACTTACTAGTCTGTAGATGTTTTAGATTTACTAGTAGGTTATTTAATCTTTTCAAAATGTCAACAATAATAACAAATATCCATCACAGCCAAAACTGATAAAATTGAACATTTGCTAAGCTTCACCCCCCTTAGTTACCTGTCAGGATTTCTGTTCTCGCACAGCACATATGACATTCTAGGTGTCTCCACTCCACCATTATGTTTTTCAAAATAGCTAGCCCACAAAGGAATGTAGTCAGTGAAGTTGGGCTTGTTTTCAGGCAGTGACACGCAGTTGTGTTGCTGTGTGTTGGAGTGGATAAACACAGTGTTTAAGTTATTTCCTTACACTTTCACTCTTGTGTGGTTTGGAAAGACTTTAATAAGTATCACTCTTACTACAGCCCATGTGCACGGCTATGATTGGGGGTGGCGGTTAGTTTCTTACTTGCAGATGAAAATAAAAAATGGCATAAAGCGGGCATGCAAACAAAATGTAGCGCTTGTAAACATGCAACAAGATCCCATTTTATATTTGATTATAATCATGATTTGTAAGTCACCTCATTGATCATTACTACACAATACTGAATAGTTCCTCTTGCTTTAGTAACAGTGAGAGTCTACTAAGTCTATCACATAGGTACTCCACTATCAAACAGAAGGCTCTCGCTCACTCCATTATTGCTTTGCATAAATGTTTCATTATCATTTAAACATGCAAACTACTTAAACAGTACTGTGTTTTGTCTCATACTTACTGTCTTACTCACTGTGTCACCAGGTCTATAAAAGTGAGGAGCGAACAGAAAGAGCGAAAAAAAAACGCTCATTCATAGACCTTGTTCGAACCCCAAAAATGAGGAAGCAGTCTCTGATTGTTTTTTATCTCTGGTGAGTATGAGCAGAACGTCACCTCTCTCTTTTATTAACTTTAAGACTTGACAAGGAGTTTCGCCATTGGCCATTGCCAAATAAATAGGCGCAAACAAGCCTGGCTTTTTACATCAGAGGTGAATTTCTCCTGCTTCCATGCTTTTTTCTAAACACACATATAGCTGACCCTTATAATAACCTTAATGAATTATGTGCTCTCCTGCCTGTGTGTGTGTGTGTGTGTGTCTTCTTGTCTCTCGCTCTGTTAAGACACAACTGACATATGGAATAAGTACATCATTTTAAACACAATCACAGACAGCAGTGATGCTGTTTCTGATAAATATAGTAGTGGCTGTGGTGTCCTTGAATAGCACTGCATCACTGCAGTAAGAGTAAAAAGGGTTTACTTATGACTTTATTTTTATTTGTTTAGTGTTTTACAATGACCCGCCCAAACAGCAGAACTTTTTGTTTTCTTCTTGGTAAGGCAGGAGGGGCACTGGGAGTCCCACATTCCTAACAGTCTGTTCAACTTTCCTTTTCCAAAGCAGTCCTCTCCACCATCTCTTGTCAGCCTGTCAGCTGTGTTCAACCTTGCAATATTTGAAACTGATCCGATTTATTTTTTGGTATATTTTGTTTATGATATTAAAATAATCTTAAAAAGTGGGCAAACCCCAGGGGAGAGTATATTTATGATTTTATTTTATTTATATATATATACCTCTAAGTATGTATACACATTTATGTAAATAGAAAAATGGCAGTTCAATGTGGCGGCCTCCGTAGAGACCCACTCCTTCTGTAGATAAAAACGGCTAAGCTAAGGTAACAAAAACACAATGATTCCTATTCCAGCTGATTATACACTAATGAAAACATACCTATGGATATTTTATTCTATTTCTGACAATAGAAAAGTTACATAATGGGCCTGTAAAACTTTGTTTCCAGGTTGTAACAGAGGCCTTCTTTTATGATTGAATATTATATTCCATTTCTGCCAATAGATCCTCCTCAATGTTACACACTGAACGTCTGAACTCAGAGGCTGCATAAAGGGCCAGTATAAGATAAATAAGGATGTTTTTGAATTGTGAATCATGCAAAACCACTCTAATCCCAGAATAAACATATAGAGCGGGAAATGAGCACTAGAGTTCCTTTTTAATTACATGTTATGCTATCCACCATTCATTTTCAAATTCCTTCATCATGGAGAAGATAATGTACATTCAGAAAGAATTCAGATGGACGGTTTTACAGACTAAAGAGAGGAAAAGCATACAGGGATTCGGCTGTGTAACACTACCTCACCAAGCACATGGCTTTCTGCATAAAGATCATTGTATTTGTACTAAAATGTCAACAGACAACCGGAATCCCTTTAAAACCAGAGTAGCTTATTATTTTCATGAGTTTATTTTTACTTATTTGTAATAGTCAACTGCATGTATATTCCCTGTGTGTTGTCTAGCTGGTCTTCCATTACTGAGGATAAAAGCTTTAACTAAGACAGCAAACAAGGGTGAAAGAGAACTGTTAAGAGTAGTTCCCGGTGGGACTAATGGCCATTAGCGTCAGATTGTTAGCAACGATGGAATGTATATGTGTTAACGAGGCTGCTCTCTTTCACTGACTGAAGGCAGCGCAGAAAGCTGCTGACACAGTGAGCTCAGAGCACTGCACACACACAGCTGTGCTGCCAACTTCCAATACTTTCAAGGAAGAGTATTGAATAGCAGCCCAATGAGTTCAGAGATCCGTCTAGAGATTCTTTTGTTGAAAGTTGTTCAAAGTGTGCAAGTTGGCAACGCTGTGTAGTTCCATACTGATTTTACAGAGCCAGGCCAGCTCTGCCTGTCCAGAAAGTTTGATAAGTCACTGAAGCCCCTCTCAAATTCTGCCCATTTTGTGCAAAGAGTCAGTCAAATAATATTATTTGTAACTTTGAAATGGATTGTAAGAACATAACATAACTTTAATTAACAAACTGATTTGCAGGAGCTCAAAAATGATAACTCCTATAAAAATAACTTTTTGTTTTCCGAAACATTCACTATATGCTGACAGTAGTACAAGAGACAGATAATGTGTGGAAAAATCTGGCCAATCAGAGCCCAGAAAGATAAAGAGACGCTTTGGGTTGGTGGCTTGATGATAGTTGTTTGCTGAGTCTCATTCCCAGCGTCTGTATTTAACCTGAATATTCCATGCAAACAGAAATTTGCACTTTGATTGGACTGTCCAGAGATCTGACTAGCTATTGTTTGAGAACACAAGATGTGATTGAGATTGATGTCTGCTCCAAGTGTGCAGACCGAACTGTGTTAGTACATAGTCGGTTGGTACTTGTCACTGTGCTTAGGTAATATAAATGTTTTTGACACATTAATGTATATCTCGTATGTTTTCATTTGGATATTGTTGTTTTTATACTGCTGTTTTGGCCAAGTCTCCCTTGAAAATACATTGATTTTAACAGGTCTGACCAGGTTTAATATTTAAACCACAGTTTTGCCAGGGACAACAGCAAATTAATAACCAGAACAGCTGCTGAATAATATAGACTGTAGAATATTTTGTTTTGGAGCTCCTGGTAGAAACCTCCTGAACCATGAACACAACCTAACCGGGAGAAGATGTATGCAGTGACCGCAATGGTGGTGTGTCAGTTATGTGGCGAAGGTAACAAAGAGGTCATACAGTTACAGGAAGGACATTAACTGTCCTCCAGAATGATGCTGTTGTTCTGTCTCAGGTTTGCCAACGTGCTCGTGTACTACGGCTTGTCTCTCAACATCTCTGACTTCGGAATGAACATCTATCTGACCCAGATGATATTTGGCCTGGTGGAGATGCCTGCACGCACCATCACCCTGTTCACCCTCAACCGCTCCCGCAAGATCTCCCAGCTGGCTTTCCTGGCTGTGGGTGGCACTGCCTGCCTGCTGACCATCTTCATTCCCAGTGGTATGGACAGTTAATGGGTTTTTTCCCCCTTGTTTCCAGTCTGTCTGAAGGTTTCCCTTACTTTTGTTTGACCTTTCCTCTAGACCTGTCTGTCATTAAAACTGTGCTGGCCATGATTGGGAAGTTTGGGATCACGGCCTCTCTGTCCATTATTTACGTCTACTCAGCTGAGTTGTTCCCCACTGTTATCAGGTAAGTGTTTCCTACCAAACACACTTGAGTAGGGACTCACAATTCAAAAACATTTAACACTTACTTTATTCCTCAGGGAAATATTTTAAAAATATATTTCGCTTATATTTTCTTTATTTTTTATTATAGAATCCTTTCTATTATTTCTATTCGTAGAAGTGATAATGTCTTTGAACCTTGATACCTCTACTGACGTCAGTAACGTAGGACATCGAACAAGCAAAGTCAAAAGGAGATAGTGCCCTCTGCTGTTTCAATCACAATTACTTTTTCAATCTTCACATATTTGTTACATGATTTAACTGTCTCGCGATATATCTTTACATTCCCACCCTAGAGTGTTCCTGACTATAAGGTTTTGCTACCCAGCAAGGTTCCTGTGCTACAATTGAGGCCATTTAACAGTTTCTACTAAAACCAAACCCACTCTGGCTGGCAATGTCCCAGAATGTTTTACTTTAACCTTTGATGAATGAGGACCTCCCTTTCTAAAAAACATTATTTGATTAAAAAAAAAAAAACATACATAGGACATGCCTCCGCTGAACCTATTAACCTGTAACTCCCTCTACACGTGCCTCAGTCAGGCTTCGTTTAAATCGATTACAGTTAGTCCAA